CAGCTGCTGCTGCTGCTGCTGCTGCTGCTGCTGCTGCTGCTGCTGCTGCTGCTGCTTGTGCTGCTGTGTGTGCTGCTGCTGTTGAGGGGGCTGTGGGGAGGTGCGGGCGGGGGGTGGCTTGACGTGGAAGGAGATGCTGCTGCTGCTATTGCTGCTGCTGCTGCTATTGCTGCTGCTGCTGCTGCTATTGCTGCTGCTGCTGCTACTGCGGTTGCTGCTGCTACTGTTGCTGTTGCTGCTGCTGCTGCTATTGTTGCTGCTGCTGCCGTCGCTGTTGCTGCTGTGCTGCTGCTGCCGTCGCTGTTGCTGCTGTGCTGCTGCTGTTGCTGCTGCTGCTGACGCTGCCGGTGCTGCAACCGCTGCTGCTGCTGCTGCTGCTGCTGCTGCAGCTGGAGCTGACAGCAAGTGGGCCTTTGAAGGTGTGCCGCTTGGTGGTGGATTTTGCTGCTGAAAGTTCGGAAGAAGTTTTCAAAAAAGTTTCGGAAGCAATTAAAGACAAAAACATTTCCCTCCTCGTCAACAACGCCGGCATTTCCTACCCCCACGCAATGGTCCGCTGCTGCTGCTGCTGCTGCTGCTGCTGCTGCTGCTGCTGCTTCTGCTGCTGCTGCTGCTGCTGCTGGGGGTGGTCGGGTGCTGCTGCTGCTGGGTGGGGTGCTGCTGCTGCTGCTGCTGCTGCTGCTGAGGGTGGTTCGGGTGCTTGTGCTGCTGGGTGAGGTGCTGCTGCTGCTTGCTGCTGCTGCTGCTGCTGTTGCGGGGACTGGTCGGGGTGCTGCTGCTGGATGGGGTGCTGCTGCTGCTGCTGCTGGGGGTGGTTGGGGTGCTGCTTCTGCTTCTTTTGGTGATGGTAGTGCTGATGGTGATGGTGGTGGTGCTGCTGCTGGGTCTAGGGTTTAGGGTTTAGGGTTTAGGGTTTAGGGTTTAGGGTTTAGGGTTTGGGGCTTGGGGTGAGCAACTGGGGCCGCGGCGAGCCAGGCTTTAGGGTTTGGGGTTTGGGGTGTAGGGTTTAGGCGTAGGGTTTGGAATGAGCGGCTGAGACCAGGCCAGCGAGGGTTTAGGGTTTAGGGTTTAGGGTTTGGGGTTTAGGGTTTAGGGTTTGGGGTTTAGCGAGGCTTCTTCTTTATTTCTGCTGCACACACCCCGCTGCTTCTTCTCCGCATCTGGAGCAGCTGCTGCTGCTGCACCTGCTGCTGCTGCGCCTGCATCCCCGCTGCATCTCCTGCTGCGCCTCTTGCTGCTGCTGCTGCTGCTGCTGCTGCTGCTGCTGCTGCTGCTGCTGCTGCTGCTGCTGCTCAGGTGGAAGCTGCACCCTTCGGCATTGATGTGCAGTGCCACGTGCCGCTGCTGGTGACGACAAAACTCTCCAAGTGCAAAACCCCAGGACTCATGACGCCCTCTGCTGCTGCGTAACCCTAAACCCTAAACCCTAAACCCTAAACCCTAGAACTAAACCCTAAACCCTAAACCCTAGAACTAAACCCTAGAACGAAACCCTAGGCAGTAGACCTAAACCCTAGGGGCTGTGCAAGGGGAGCCCTTTTTTTTGTTTTAGTTTGAAGGGCGATTGGCCCGGACTCCAGAAACCCTAAACCCTAAACCCTAAACCCTAGCGCACCCCCGCGCGCCCGCGGGGAAACCCTTGCGGCGCAGCAAACCCTAGACGCTGGAGGTCGAGGGTTTAGGGTTTAGGGTTTGGGGGTTTGGTGCTGAGGGTTTTTGGGGGTGTGCGTGTTTGGTGCTGCAGCTACGCTGCTGCTGCGCTGCAGTGCATGCGCAGCAGCAGCAGCAGCAGCAGCTGCTGCTGCCACCCCACAGTTTCGCCTTATTGGCTGCATGCAGCAATTTTGGCTTTTGCGAAAAGTCTCCCCAGACAAACTTGGAACAAAATTCGACTTGGCCAGTGCCTCAGTCTCAGAAAAAGGGCTCTCAAGAAAAAGGTTTGCTGCTGCTGCTGCTGCTGCTCCTGCTGCTGCTGCTTTTGCTGTTGTTGTCTTGCTGCTGCTGCTGTTGCTGTTGTTGTCTTGCTGCTGTTGCTGTTGTTCTCTTGCTGCTGCTGCTGCTGCTGCTGTTGCTGCTGTTGTCTTGCTGCTGCTGCTGCTGCTGTTGTCTTGCTGCTGCTGCTGCTGTTGCTGCTGTTGTCTTGCTGCTGCTGCTGTTGCTGTTGTTGTCTTGCTGCTGCTGCTGCTGCTGCTGCTGCTGTTGCTGTTGTTGTCTTGCTGCTGCTGCTGCTGGTGTCTTGCTGCTGTTGCTGTTGCAGTATTGCGCTGCTACCTTGCTGTTGTCTTGTTGCTGCTGCAACTGCAGCTGTCTTTCTGCTGTCTCGCTGCTGTCGTGCTGCTGGTGTCTTTTGCTGCTGCCTTGCTGCTGCTGCTGCTGTGCTGCTGTGCTGCTGCTGCCTTGCTGCTGCTGCTGCTGCTGCATTGCTGCTGCTGTTTTGCTTCCGTTTTGACTCTGCAGGAGGGCGAGAAGAAGGACTCTTGAATGCCTGGGCAGTTTGTGGGGCCCTTGCAAACCCTAAACCCTAAACCCTAAACCCTAAACCCTAGACCCAGCGGCTTACAGCCCGCCAAACCCCAGCAAACCCTCCGAAACCCTAGATTAGGGTCTGCAGCTAAACCCTAAATCAGGGTCTGGAGACACAAGGGTTTAAAAGCCCCGGAGGTTTTGCTGCTCCTTGTTATTTTTGACCCGCCCTGGGGTGTATAGGCAGCTCCAGTGTATGTACACTGCAGCAGCAGCAGCAAAACTCTCTCCCGAGTTTAATTGGACACAAGGGCATTTCAGCTGCTGCCAGCAGCTAGCTGCAGCTAGCTAGCCACAGCTAGCCACAGCTAGCTACAGCTAGCTACAGCTAGCTGCAGCTAGCCGCGTAAATAGCTGGAGCTAGCTGCAACCGGCTAGCTAGCCGCAGCTAGCCATAGCTCGCCAGCTGTAGCTAGCTGCTGCTGTCCACTTGGCCATGGGTAGCTGGCTGGCTAGCTAGCTAGCTAGCTAACTAGCTAGCTAGCTAGCTAGCCAGCCGGCTGGCCCAGCTAGCGGGCTAGCTAGCTTCAGCATGGATGGGAGCGTGCTGCAGCTAGCTAACGATCTTCTGCTGTTAATTAAAAACCTGGAGACAGGGGCTGTAGTGATTAAGATGCTGCTATTCTAGGGTTTAGGGTTTAGGGTTTAGGGTTTAGAGTTAAGCCCTGGGGCGAGACAAGGAAAGTGCGGAATACCCATTGGGCTAGAGAATCTTGTGGCGGCGGGATCTGGCTAGCTAGCTAGCTAGCTAGCTAGCCACCAGCTAGCTAGACAGCAGCTAGCTAGCTAGCTGGCTAGACAGCAGCTAGCTCGCCAGCTAATGGTCAGCTAAAGCGAAGTGGATGACCAGCAGCTAGCTAGCTAGCCACATGGGGAGGCTAGCTAGCTAGCTAGCTAGCTAGCTAGCTAGCTGTGGCTAGCTGTTCAGTGCCTGGTTCTCTACAGCTAGCTGTAGCTAGCTAGCTAGCTATTGGAAGCTGGAGTTGCAGAGAAGACAAGCAGACTCAAGACTGTCCCTACTGTTTGCTGCTGCTGCTGCTGTTGCTGTTGGCTGCAGCTGTTGCTGCTGCCTGCTACTGTTGCTGCTGCTGCTGCCTGCTGCTGCTGCTGTTGCCTCATGCAGATGCATGCTGCTGCTTGCTGCTGCTGCTGCTGCTGCACTGCTGCGCAGGTGTTTGGAAGCAAAAATGCATGCATTGAAATACAAATTAAAAATGCTGATGAATCTATGGGGCCGCAGCAGCTCAGCAGTGCAGCCAAAGGGGGCCCCTTGGGGGGCCCCAGGGGGCCCCTTGGGGGGCCCCAGGGGGCCCCTTGGGGGGCCCCAGGGGTCGCTAGGGGGCCCCAGGGGGCCCCCCAAGGGGCCCCCAGGGGGGCCCCCCAGGGGGCCCCCCAGGGGGCCCCCCATGGGGCCCCCCAGGGCTCGGCCGTGGTATCTGCCTGGTAGTTTAGCAGCAGCAGCTGCTGGGCTTTTGTCTTTTTTAAGAAAAGAAAATAATATTTTATGAGAGTTAATAATATAAGCAGCAACTTAAGTTGCTGCTGCTGCTGCTGCTGCTGCTGCTGCTGCTGCAGGCTGGCTGGGGGCCGCAGCTCGCAGCAGCCGGTTGAGTCGCTGCTGCTGGGGTTTGATGCCTGGGTCTTTTGTTTGTCCATTTCGTTTTTATTTTGAATTATAATTCCAAATTAAATAAATTCATTCCAATTTATTCCTTTTGCTGCTTGCTGCTGCAGTTCTGCTGCAGCAGCAGCGCGCCGGCAGACCGCGCTGGCAGACCAGCGGCAGCAGCAGCAGCAGCAGCAGCAGCAGCAGCTGCAGCAGCAGCAGCAGCAGCATTCCAGGCTCATTTTGAGGCTTTTTTGAAGACAAGTGTCTCTCTGCTGCATGCAGCAGCAGCAACATCTTCCTTTTCCTCTCTTTTTGTCCATTTTAATCTTCTTTTTGACCCTTTTTATTCATTTTTTCTCTTTTTAATTTCTTTTTTATCTTTTCCACTTTCCAGCAGCGCTGACTCGCTGTCAGCTGCTGCTGCAACAAGCCACAGACACTACAGGGCCCCCAGCCCCCCGGGGGCCTCCCTGTACCCTCTAGGGGGCCCCCAGAGCCCCCCAAAGAACCCCCCAGGGGCCCCCAAAGGGCCCCCAAAGGGCCCCCAAAGGGCCCCCAAAGGGCCCCTAAAGGGCCCCCAAAGGGCCCCCAAAGGGGCCCCAGAGGGGCCCCCAGGGGGGCCCCCCTAGGTCTTCATTGGGTGGCTTGAGGCGTTTGTTTACTGCTTGGGGGCCCCCTAGAAAGAAAGGGCCTTCTGCTGCTCTCAGTGCTGCTTTTAGCGCTTTCCTAGCAGCAGCAGCAGCAGCAGCAGCAGCAGCAGCAGCAGCCCATGAAGGGGCCCCGGGGTCTGAGGGCCCCCGTGTTCCCCGGGGGGGCCCTAAGAGCAGCAGCAGAATTAGAAAGAGAAAGGGGGGCCCCCTCAAGCGAAAGTTCAGAAGTGGCTTCTGTGGGGGCCCCCTGGGGGCCCCCCTGGGGGCCCCCCGAGGGGCCCCCCTCGGGGGGCCCCCCAGGGAGGCCCCCCGAGGGGGGCCCCCCAGGGGGGCCCCCCAGCAGGGGGGCCCCCCGGGGGCCCCACAGGGTCAGGCCCCTGCGGCCGCTGCAGGAAGCTGCTGCGCTGCTGGCAGCAGCAGCAAAAGACAGCGAAAAGGTCCGCAGCAGCAGCAAAAGAAATGAAGTTTTGCTGCTGCGGGCAGAAGACACGGATTTGCTGCTGCCAGGTAGTTTAAATACTCGAAAGTAAATAAATAAAAATAAATAAATAAATATAAATAAAGATAAATAAATAAATATAATAATAAATAAAAATAAATAAAAATAAATGAATAAAAGATGTTAATTAAATGCAATTCAATGAAAGAAGGGCAATTAAATTTAAAAGAGGAAAAGCCAAATGGAGAAGACACAAAAGAAAAGAGATTTTGCAAAATATAAAAATTAAAAAATTAAAAAAATTAAAAAATTAAAAAATCAAAAATTAAAAAATTAAAAATCTAAAAATAATAAAAAGAGACAAATAGAGAAAACGACTGAAGAGATACAAGCTTAGAGGGCGGAGAGAGGGAAGAGAGAGAACTGCAGCAGCAGCAGCAGCAGCAGCAGCAGCTGCAGCTGCAGCCGCTGCTGCAGCTGCTGCTGCAGCTGCTGCTGCTGCCGCTGCAGCAGAAGCAGCAGCAGCAGCTGCTGCGTCGGTGCCTCTTCACACTGCATCATTCGCTGCCGTTTGCTGAATTTAAAAGTGTTTCTTGTGTCTGCTGCTGCTGCCGCTGCTGCTGCTGCTGCTGCTGCCGCTGCTGCTGCTGCTGCTGCTGCTGCTGCTGTGTGCAG